AATACTAGGGGGTGTGCGATAGACTTACCTCCACGTGGTGCACCTTGGGCAATGTATACTCATACGGTAAAAAAGTCTATTAACTGGCAGTTGACTTCTCACTTCAAGCTGCCATCACCCCACTGTATGTCATATTCGACTACTACCACGGTACTCACCTCACCATTTTTCTACCTTTGTGTCTGTCTCTTTTACATCTTTGAAACACTCTTCTGTTCCCCCCCCCCCTGACTCCGACTTTTTCACTTTGATGTTCCTACGCCTCTGTGAAGCCCGAAGTCAGCTAAAGGGCTAATGGTAGCTATCAAAACGCCTACCCTTCGATATAAATAAATAAATCAATCAATACTATAATTCTTACAGCATGATAGTTAATCACTATGGCCATTGTCGGGGAAAAAAAGTGAATTGACATCGTGGGCAAGACTTTGATCGGTAATTCGGAAGACGAATAAGACAACTTGAGTTCGGCAACTCAATCAGTGAAATGACAATTATGAGAATGGCATGCAACTGGAGTTTTAAGGTAAATGAAAGTAAGACGCCTTGGATGATAAAAAGCTTTTTCCAATCCGTTTTTCAATCGCCTTTGTCCACAATTCGGCGTTTTGAGTTGCTTAATCATAATGAAACTAAACAAATATTCCTGCGTATGGATTATATTTTTATATAAGTCTACTCAAGAAATCGGAGCGTTTATCCGGAGTATATATTCTTATAAAGTCTAGTGGTCTTTAAAATTAACAAGAAGAGACAACATTTTCCAAATTTCAAGAGAACGAGACTTGAGTTGGATCAGAAATGTACCTTGACAATTGAAGAGGGAGGAGGTTATAGGAAGGAGAGTTTTGCTAAACTCGGGTATGCTTAGAGGGGCTGTATAGTTTCGACATCTTGGTGAGTCACTCCAAGCCTCATTAGGCTGACCAGATGCATACATCATCGTTTGTTGAACTACATTTCCAAATTCCCTTCTTCAGTAACATAATCTCACTATCGCCATCGCTTGCCTCCCCTCCCTCGGACAGACATCCCTCATCTGAATTTCTTCTCATTCCGCCCAACCCTTCCACAACCGGAAGACCGATGGTTAATTGGGCCATGTGTCTATGAGATGACAGCAAGAGATGAGGGAAAGGGCAGGGACTGGAAATTGACAGTAAAAGAAACGTCAGTTTTGATTGAGTGGATGAGGGGTTAATAATGAGGTCAAATTGAGCTATGTTTGAAGTTTTTATACTTCGTCCCATTGTCTTGTAGTAGAATCCTTTCAAATGATGACCTACTTTGAAAGTGTTAGGGTTAGTTAGAACTCGTCTAGAAAGGTTGATAAGTGAACTCGACAAAGCTTTGTTAAACGCCCACTCTTTAATTGCTCAAAATGGCAGATATCAACAAAAGTCCAGCTATCTTGAACGATAAAGTGGCGACAAAAGTATTCCACGATGGCTATTCCGATGTGCAGATAGTAACTATCACAGACTTGGGCTCGTTCTGTCATCCCAATTCGACATTATATTAAATGACAACGCAATTACAAACTAACTCACCGGCTCAATTCACACCCTGAACCAAAACGTAGATAGAAGCTCGTTTCCTCGACATTTTGTCACTTTGATGTTCCTCCTTCTCTCTGTGAAGCCCAAAGTCAGCTAAAGGGCTAATGATAACTATCAAAACGTCTGCCATCTGAGATAAATTCCATTTAGTAAAGCATTAACGCGATGACAAACAATGCGATGCTTGACAATGTCAGTGGTCTGACACTCATCTTCAAAATACCAAAGCAGCTATTCATAAGTAACTTTAACGGATACAAAAGTAAGGCATTAGAACAAATAATATAAACTGGGGTTTTCTACCTCCGAACTATTCTTCTATAAGATTCTAGAGTGTAACACATGTTCATCGGGAGGCAGATTTGTCCAATTTTATATAATTCGGCTGAAGTAGCTTACAGTTGGCATAGCCTTAAATTCGCGATTCTTACTAACTATATTGACATAGAAAACGTGCGGACATTTATCGAAATCGAAACAACGTACACAAAATTCATCTATAGGAATAGATTCCACTGACAAGAAGCAAGTTAAGTGCACATGAACGACATTTTTCAGGGATGTTTAATAGTATTTTGTCCCAATCAACGGTATACGAATTTAAATATTGCTAGTATATAGCGAACTAGAACCTGAACAGATGTATCTGAAGATGGTCTCTTATTTTCTTTAAGATTTCCATAGAGTGAGGTATTTGAAAGGTTAAATTCACTTGGGGCATCGACCGCGAGCCAAACTTTTATCTCGACATAAAAAAGATAATCTCAAGATCATTGGGAAAAGCGTTTACAACATAAAATTTGAGTAGAGAGGGAAAATATCATGCTGGCCAGAATTAACCATTGGTGCTGACAATCCACATCAGTGGACATACACCACCAGCCATTGATTGCATGACCTTTATCCCTGATCACTTATGCATAATGAACAAAGACGTGTAGTTACAGGCGATCGAAAGGACTTTCCTAAATGAGGCCGAGAGGATTTTTGGCGTATAGCATGACACAGACGCATCAAATTACAGAAGTTAAAAAGTACAATCCCTAAACCCCTGGATCAAATCTTTGTTGCTGCCCCTAAAGTGAGTATTATCACTGTCCAAAATGCAAAACAATTCGACTAACATAAACCGCGACAAACACACACGCACGTAAACCAAATGCAAGCACCACAAGAAAAGAAAATAAAGTTATTAATATGTAGAATATGTATATATGCATAGAGTAATACACAGCCTGCGTGACATAAGTGGAGTCTTAATTTTAAAGGAAAAACTTTTCTAAACCAGAAGTTAAAAAAGTCAGGGATAGGGAAGTGGAGAAAAAAAGAAGGAAAATGAGTTGGAAAGAGAGAGAGAGAGAGAGGAGGGGGTAGGAGGGAGGGACTAAAACCCAGAACAACAGGCCTTCCTCGGTTCATTATTAGGATTTTGTAAAGGTATTGTTGGTCGACCTTCAAGACCGATATTAGTATCTGAACTGGCACCAGACGATCTAACGTGTTTCAAAATTTCTTAAAAAAGGTGGAGTAAATATTAATATGCAAGCACGTACCAGAAAGAAGAGTAATATAAGCGTGTTCCACATTAGTAGAATCCAGAGCAGACGTTTCAGTGAAGAAAAGATTATTGCTACTAGCAAACGCAGCAGCTACGTTTTGAGGAACAGTTCGCAAATGACGGAGGTCACACTTATTTCCAACCAGCATTGTGACAATATTAATATCGGCATTCGAATGGAGCTCTTTCAACCACACACCGACATTATCAAAGGTAGATATTTTTGCTATGTCATAAACCAAAAGAGCACCAACAGCACCCCGATAATATCTTAAGCGGTAAAAAATCGTTCATAAATGTCCATTTTACTTATAAGGTTACAACTAAAAATAACTTACGCTGAAGTAATCGCACGATATCTTTCTTGACCGGCGGTATCCCATATCTGAGCTTTCACAATTTTATCATCAATATGGACACTCCTGGTAGCAAATTCGACACCGATTGTCGTCTTACTTTCCAAATTAAATGTATTTCGAGTAAATCGGGAAAGCAGATTACTTTTTCCAACACCTGAATCACCTATCAATACAACTAAACAAAAATTAAGGCATTTTAAACGCAAAATTTAATCATACTTTTGAAGAGATAGTCATATTTATCATCATCCGAAGACATTTCAAGAAGGAAGTATGCGCAAACACACTAAAACAAAAGACCTCCGTCAAAGGATATTCACACAGAGCGCCAAAACAGACCCAATCAAAACTCACCTTATCGAAGGTTAACAAGGGATAGGCTAATGTAAATTAAATTTTGCGTATAACCTATAAATGGTATGAGGGGCAAATCAAAAAGGAACATACTTCGTTGCTGAATTGAGCTTTTTTAAATTTTGCTTTAAACATCATCTGTCTTATAAAATTAGTTGGTTTAATTAAAAGAAAGAACGTGTAGTTTATTTTAAAATTTCAAATTTATTTGACAGTAACATTGATCTTTGCTGTAATGACATTTGTGTGAGCTTTAGCAAATATATTTTTTTTAAATAGTGAGGAAAGAATTCAATTATGTATCGAACTTCTACGTTAACAAGCCTTGACTATATCCGCTAATCTCCATGATAAGTTCCCATAGCTTGCAATTCCTTCTAGAATTAGGTAAGCTACCGCAACTCTATAGAAGAAACAGACGTATAACGAAAAGTACGTTTTATTCTGGCGATGTCACATGAGGGATGCATATCGGTCATATCGCCTCCGTTGGGTTGGGTTTTTGTGTGTCGATTGCCATGGTGCCAAGTAGGGTATGATAACCATGGAATGACTTTGATCGTTGATTGAGAGTTCACTGCAATTAGGATCAAATTTACCCCTTGACGTGATTCGCTTTTCCGCTCAACTTCGATATTGGACTTCGTCGAGGGTACCCATTTGTTTCCCGAATTACGGACTTGTGAAAACCTACCAGTTTATGTAATTCGGAGAAGCATTTAAAACAGGAAGAACTTACCCCGGGGATTACTGCGAATGAGTCAAGGATGAAAATGTAACAATCCGCAACAACTTCAACGTGTCACGATTTCAAGACAAGATGTTTGTTTTATGCTTATTCCTTGGCGTTTTAGGTACGCTCAAATTTTAAGGTTAAATGTAATTAATTTTTTGTAAAAAATTCTTCTAACCACTGGTTTTGACCATCAAATGAGAGACAATTTACATGAAAACGAATATCTAAACAAGGTATATAAAGAAAAGACTAAGGGATAAGGAATGTGATTCTTCTTGAATAATAACTATCAAATTCAACTTGGAGATATTAGAGATTTAGTTTAACTAAAATCGAGAGCAATTAACGTATGATGCTTCTATGCAATTTCATCAGAGATTGCGCACCATAACAGTTCTTGCCACTGCTAGAGGAATGATAGTTAGATTATAATTTGTCATCGATTGTTCATTTACTAGTCCAGACAAGAAGCAAACTTGCACCATGTTAAGGCTTAGATATTTGTATAAAATATTAGAGCATAAATGGTCATCATCATTAGAAATTAACGCTATCTATTAATGAAAAAACTTCAAGGGAATTAACATTTGAACAAAAAATTTGAAAACACTTAATTTAGAACACTTCACATTAATGTCCAGCTGCAAAACAATTCCGAGTTTTCCATATGTGAATTCTTAAATCTTTCTTGATTTGGCCAGATCATTTACTTCTGTATTTAAACCTGCTCTGAAAACAGACTGTGTGGAATTATTGCTTTGTATTACTATTTTATCTCAGTAAGTCGACGCATACCGTTCTGCCATGCCATTTTCTTGATCAACAACCTCACGATAGGCAATATTTTGACTGAGTTGCAATAGGCATTATCTCATTGAATACTTTTATTTTATTTATTTATTTATATCAAATGGCAGGCGTTTTGATGGTTACCATTAGCACTTTAGTTGACTTCAGGCTTCACAGAGGGG